ACAGCTCTGAATTCTGGTAGGGAAGGTACACGTGCAGTACGAGGAGCATGCCATTGTACAGCATGCTTCATTGCAGAGTGCTTTTAAAGGCTGGGCTCCCCATTTCTCTCCTTGCCATTTGAATAGCTGGATGAAAAGGCACAGAAACACCGTTTCTCTGATATAAGATGTATTGGCACAAAACCCCTCCAATATCTCATTTTGCTCCCCTGGTGAGTTAGAAAATTATTTTTTTCCTGTCTGGAATTCCAGATTCTGAGCGTTTGCACGGATTTTATTTATCATTCAGCATAGCTTTCAAGCTTCCCTTTGTCTTTCCCTGGCTGTCAGTACAGTCGAGATGAAGAATAACAGATCACAGTCTGACACGTCATAATTCCTAAAGCATTAAACGTTCCTCTCTGCTACCGTGTGAGCCTCTAAGCATCAGATAGCACTGTCATTTCCAGTATCCTTAGGTTAGGCTCCGGCAGATCCTGGTACTTATCTTTTTTTTCTTTTAATAACTGCGTATAGCTTAGTGGCAAGGGTGGGCAAAATGTCTGGTAACCCTATAGTCTGAGCCGTACAGGGAAGCTCTACAGAAAGCCTTGTGCTTGGTGCCGGGGAAGGCATGCTAATGCTTTTGCAAAGGCATGTGGATGATTTTGCAAGATGTTTGTGGATAGGACTGCAAAGCCGACTGGAACTGATGGTGATTTGCTGCGTAATCGATACCTGCAGCATGCAGTCAGCCTCCTGCACGCAGATCAGAGCCCTTTCACCTTAGCCTGCCTGGATATTCTCTTTCCTTTCTCCTCCTCCTTTAAAGAGAATTACTGTATTTACGTTTAAAGGGTCACATCCTTCTGACCAGCTGAAAAGATGCTCTGCCACTCTCTGTGGTGTTTTCATACTGTTATCATCGTGTCTTTAACTTCCTTGCATGTTTGTTTGTTTTTTTCCTTACAAGTGCAGAAGTTGTTTTTGTGGTGTTTTTGTACAGAACAGATTTTTTGTGTGTTTCTAAACAGCGATATGGCTTAAGTTATTATTAATTAATGTGCATTGTCCTTGCAGGGAAGTGCCAGGTCCCCCACCCTGCAGCATTTCCCTCTGCTCGCCGTGTGCTGGTGTTTGGTGGTGGGCTTGGGCTGAGCGGTGCCTGGCACTGATTTTGCCCCTTGACCACAGGTAGGATCCCACAGTACCAAGTGCTGCTTTGCCAGCACTCAGCTTCATCTGCAGAGCGTGCATCCTCACAGTCTTTGTTCTTGCAGAATATCATTTGTTGCTTTCTCCCCCCTCGCCCCCTCATCAAACCTTTTCTGGCTGGCCCACCCCGGGCACCGTGCGCATCTCTCGGTGTCAGCGCTGCCTCCTGTAGGAGCTGTGATCCTGGGGTGTGCTCGCCGTGCCCGGGAACAATGTCACAGGCTTTAACATTTCATGAGAATCCGACACGCTCACAGCACAAGACGGAGCCAGGCAGAGTCCAGTTGTCAAAATAATATCGAGCCAATAAGCACGTCATGGGTGGAGCTACTGCGGTATGGCTCAAACTAATTCTGAATGAAGACCTTTTTGTTAAACACCCTGGGCCTGAATGAATCGGGTCCCTTGGCTGATGATCGATTTGGGAATCCCTTGATTTTATCGGCATCCACCCCAAAACCCAGCGTTTTTGTGTTGTTGAAGAAGCCCAAGCGTTCTGTGAGAGGGATTGATCAGGAGAGGGTCCTTATGAATTTTTCATGAGCTGGTGCGCTCAGCTGAATGAATGCAGCGAGTGTCGGTGTGTAGCTTGCAGACAGCCCCATCCACAAGGAGGCTGCTGACACAGAAACACTTTGGCGCATTTTCAGAGGGAGAGCTGGGCTGATAAAGGCTTTTCTGACAGCGCCGGCTTATCGTCCTCCGATTTATGCTGCTGTTGCTCTAGGCAGCCTTTGCATTTGGAACCCAGCCTCGTGAATGAGTGGGATAAGCTTTGCCGATTTATCAGCGTTTTTAATCTGCGGCGATGCCTGCGTGATGTGTTTTTGTTATGGTTGCTGAATGGTGAGAGCTCACACAACGTCTGAGCTATGACAGCAAAAGATTCTTCCAGGGAACTTGCTACTCCGGAGACGGAGATTTACATACGGACTTTCAAAGAGCAAATGCATTTAGAACTTGAGCTTCCCAAGCTGCCTGGGAACAGACCTACGTCTCCGAAAATTTCTCCTCGCAGCTCGCCGAGGAACTCTCCATGCTTTTTCAGAAAGTTGCTTGTGAATAAAAGCATCCGGCAGCGTCGGCGCTTTACGGTGGCACATACGTGGTAAGATCTGCTGGGTATTGGGACGGGTTTGCAAAACAATGTATGTAGCTGTGCTTCCAAGTGGAAAACACACTGAGATTCATTCACAGCACTTGCTGCAAGCGTTAAATGAATAGAGCAGAAGGCAGCCAAAGTATGTATAATGCAGTGCCTCTACGATTGTCATTCAGCTTCTGTTCTCCAGAATAAATCCAGCCCATTATTCATGTGCGCGGTGGCTAATCTCCGCTGAACAAAGACGGCAGCCAGTAACTTTCCCGGGCGTTATGTTGCTGTTGGTGGTAGGCTGTACGAATTGATTTCAGATCCTTCAAGCTACGTTTTTGCTTTGCGCCCGTCAGCTCTGGCTGCAGATGACAGCACAGCATAGACCAGGCTGTGTGGGCAGGGGACTCCCGGGGTTAGATCATGGCGAGGGCTTTAACTTGGTGATGCGTGGCTTTGGACAGTTGTTGCTGGCTTCAAACATCCCTTCTTTCAGCCATTTTCACAGAAGCTCCAGCTAAGAGCTTTCCCCTCCCTTCTAATTGCTAGCCCCGAGTCCATTTGCATGCCGTTACAGGTGCCTGTGAGCTGCCTCTGACTGTCCCTTGCACTGGTTGAGGCATGTCACAAGCAGTAACCAAAATACAAGATTCGGGGAAAACCAATGAGAACTGCATTGCTTCATTTCCTAAATTTGCTCTCTATGCCTTGTGAAGCCCACTTTTTAAATTCCAACACTCTCTCAAATACGCACCAGTTGACTGGGAGAATTAAACCAGAAAACTTTCAGTAACCTGAGGATTTTTAAACCAGCCGTGTTAATTACCTTCCCATTCCATAGACCGGATCAGAGGAGGGAGGACGAGGCTATCCCACTTAGGTCTGTGTGGGCCAGATGTTTTGGGGTATCTGAAATACCCATTGCTGTCAGCTGCTTTTGTAACTAGGGTGTTATTTTAAAATGGTTTGAGTCATGCTATAACCTTTCAAAGCCATAATTCGCTCTGTAATTTAGTAAAAAGTAAATTACTAAAACTCTGATACTTGCATAGAATGTATTAATAGCTCTTCCAGTTGTTTTGTGCTGTTAAACAGTACGAAAAACAAGAGGAAAAACCATGAACTTTGGTATCAGGGAATTGTACCGAGTAGTGATGGGATAACTGATTGCTTTCTTGTTGATTTGTTTGTTTGAGATGCTTTTGAGATGTGGCAGCCTGCGATTCAAGTCATACTTCTGGAATCACACAGACTTTCTGCTTGTTTGTCCAGGCAGTGATAACAGCTGCCCAGCCTGCTGCATGCTGCAAGCTCTCGGCGTAGCACTGTAGTTGGTTGTAGGCAGCAGCGTTTATGTCTGTGCACATGAATTCCTCAAACATCTGTCATATCTCAGCACTGTAGCAGTGGGGTGCTGTTCCTCGTACCCCCACCTGCACGCTTGGAGAAAGGCGTGCCGTGGAAAAGCAGCACTGCTGGGAATGAGTCGAGCAGGATGTGGCCAGCCGGGGTGTCTGTGTTGCCCGATGCAATCAGCGTGTGTGTGCATACACACACACACTACAGATGTAGCTGATGGCCTCTGCTCGGAGCACCGGAGCTGGGAGTGTGCTGGGTTTGTTTTTCATGGAAGAGTAGAAGGTTCTCGTGCTCTTCCTTTTTTTAAGATTTTCAAATCAGGTGGTTATTAGTTGCACATAGGTGTTTTAACCTTAGATAAGAAGTAAACTACTGTCAAAATAATAAAAGTCGCCCTTGCAAGGAAAGGTTTCCACAAGGTATGAGTGCGTCTACTTGTGTAACACAGTCGAGACAGACAGCTGATCCAGACATAGCGTCAGTTTGGGTTAAAACAGGAGGGAACTTAAACTATTTAATTGTGATATAACATCTCATTAGGATGTCTGTGTAGCTATGTTGCATGTGTGCTGGGAGTAGGACTTTGAGCGAGGTAATGGTATGTACTCATTAGTTGTAAATCTGCTGAGCAGTGCATGCAAACATTCATCACCTGAGCCGAAGAGGGACACCGTTTCTGTAAGGTGTTCCTTTGTGCTGAGCCAGGATGGAGTGTCTGGGCAGGAGAGGAATTGCCTCAGGAGGAAACGTAGAAGGAACACAAACTGCACGATAACAAAAAGGCAGTTAAGCCATGTAAAATCATGTAATCTATAACCTCCACAGCCTTGTAAACAGGAAACTTCTGCAGTTTGGGGATTAGTGACGCCATAAATTATGATCTTCCACCTTCATCCTGACTGCTAATGTCAGTGCTTGATGAATCTTCTGCTCATTCCTCTATGCCCTTCATTTTCAGTTTCCTCTCTTCCCTTGCTCTGTTCCTTTGCTTATTAATTAATTAATTGTCTTTTTTGGGCATTTTCTTTCCTATTTAACTAACTGCATTTCTGCTTTTTTCTCCTGATTATGTTGATGAGATCTCTGTCATCACCAGGCTTCTCCAAAGTCCGATCATCAGATCTTACCCAAAAAGAAAGAAAAAAAATGTGTATATTTAAACAAGACCATTATTCAAATGCTTCTATATTCTAAATCTTCCTTCTCCCTCAGGATCCAGTTCTCATGACAGTGCATATGAGAGTACATTACCAACATGTCAACACAGTGGCCTTCAAACATCTGTCAGGCTGATCCCTGCCTGCCTGCAACCCCTTCCATAGTTTGCCATGGCTGGAGTTGCACTGAATGAGCACCTCATTCATATAAGCTAAGAGCACAAAAACTGTTAAGCCTTCACTCTTTTTCCTCCACCAGAATCCACAGGTGTCATTCTTCCTTTCTTAACATCCATCATTTTTGCCTTGGAGATCTGGAAAGCCTGCATCCTCTTCCTTCCTTCGTGTTGCCTCCACTGGTGCCACTTGCGTTAGTTGGGATCTGGGGAGGAAAAGAGCAGGCAGAAGCTGGTGTGAACTGATACGCGGCACGAGCCATCTGCATGTGGAACACGCAGTGCTGCCTGCTTGCAGAGTTTGCTCTGCAGTTTCTGGAGAGAGGAAAGCATCTCCAGAAGCCAAGGAGAAGTGCTCGGTCCCAGCACTTTCATGTGTGACCAGCGCTAACGCAGAAACATCACCTTCCCTACCCACTGCTCACAGGAGCATCCTGCCCTTAGCCCAAGCACTTTCGAAGCAGTAGTTCTAAAACCAGCTTTTATTTTCTTCAGATCTGCCATCTTACTTTCATCTGTACTGCTGCTATCCCCGTGATTACACCCAAAGCATAATCCTCAGCAATGTCTTGCAAAATCCGGCAAGATCCAGCAGTGTCTTCTAAAAGACAGTAGCTATTTTCTAGCGTGCTCTGCTGCTTGTCATAGAGCTTTGTTTAAATATTTATTTCAAGTTTATTTATACTTCTTCAATAATGTTTATACAATCTAGATCACTTGGTTTCATAACATATAGTCAGTCATCAGCTATGTTGTGTGACGAGCACTCGCTTTTTAATGAACTGATTTCTTGGAATACAATGTTTATTGTCTTTTATCTAAGACTCGTGGTTTTGTGTTGTTGTTTTTTTTCCAAATTAATTCGTATTTATCTTTCATCCTTTTGGTAAGTTTAAGCCTGCTTTTCCTTTATAGCTGTTATCTATTATGTAAAGAAAATACAGGGTAGAACAGAAATGGCACACTAGGACATTTTGCTCTGTTTTTTCTTTTGGTTATCCTTCAATGCAATTGAAATACCAACACATATTTGCTTTTTAAAGTATGCTGTAAAATTTAAATCATATGCTAGCCTTAATTTTTGGAAAACATGATCTGTTTTCATTACAAAATAATCTTCTGCGATGGAATTTACCAAGTTAGATAGTACGGCACAATCCAGTCAGAGGGGTAGCATTTGATTTTTTTCCAAGCCTGGTGAATAACAACTGATCGGTTTAATTACTTGGAGCTGCACGACATGCTGTCAGCACATCAGAGCTATCAAATGATGTCACGTTTTGTTTTGCTTTCTGATCCTTGTGCTTCTAGAACCAAATACTGAAGACTTACCAAGTGGCAACCAACACTGCAGCAGTGCTTAAGAAAATTCTGGGTTTGGAGACTGTCTGTATACTTGAAATCGCTGAGGATAACAGGCATGTTTATCAGATCCATCACTTTCTTCAGTCCTCACACACCCGTGCCTCTGACCCGAGGTCCCCACCAGCTCCATCAGGTGCTTGGGCATGGGATGGAGCCACAGCATGGCCCTTTGGGGCAGGGAGCTGCAGGCCAGCTTCGTGGGGCTCACCTGCCCGAGTCCCACTCAGACCGTGAGATTGGCAGGGCTGCCTTTTGGATTCGCTTCTTGTTTTGAGGCAAAGCCAGTCTCTCGTAGCCCGTCTCCCTCTGATAAGATTTTGGATGCGTTTCAACTTTGCTGTATACATAGCAGGATGCGTTTCCTTAATTCCGGCGTTGAATAACATGCTTGCCTTAACTTCTGTGAACAAATCTGGTTTTGTTTTTCACTGGGTATTGATGTGATTTCAAGTTTGGTTTTCTTCTTTTGGAGAAATAGGACGGTTGTCTTGCTTTCTCTTGCTCACTGATATTGGACAAACTACGTTGCTCAGTTGTCTGTTGAAACTCTTTGGAGAAACAAACTGAAGTGAGTAGGGAAAAGGAAGGGGAAAAACAGAAGGTTCCCTTTTTTTTTCTCTGCTGAATACATTCCTCCATGGGGGTTGAGCAACCTCAACAAAGTAGCAGGAAAGGTTCCAAGGGGCATGAAAATGAGAGAAGAGCTCACTAAACAAGAGAAATAAGCCCACACGACAACAAAACCAGCAGCATAATCTTTAAATCTGTCCCATCTGCACGTATTGCTCCTAAACCCTGCCTACAACCACGGAGGACGGGAAGGAGAAGCTTCCTTCATTCCCCCACCTTTTATGTGGGAAAACAAACTTTTATCTTGGTGTCAAAAACATAATTACCAGCTGTTAAAGATTCACGCAAAGTACAAGAGATTATGATATTAATGATAATTTGATTTTGATGAGCTCAGCTGTTCCTCTGGGAGGGAGATAGAAAGAGTGGATCTCTTCACAGAGAAATCACCAGGCTTAGGAGTATCTGTCTGTCCTGCATCCCTACCTCCACCTCCTCCCCTGCTCAAAGGGAAGAGTGGGATTCAGTGGGAGATGCCTGGTTCTGAAGGTTTAGGTGTCTGTGGATTCATAGGTAATGATGATTTATATTATATTTGCCCCTTCCTGAATGTTTTTTGGTACTTTGTGAAGCTTTGTTAACAAAATCTGAAATTTTACGTGTAAAGCAGATAAAATGGGTACCTTTATAAAAGCCTCTTCAGACCCTGTGGATATGAGTCCCGGAGGTATTCCCTACATTAATGTAAAAAATAAATAAATATCTATTTCTGGCATTTTTAATACCTGGCTTACATGAGACTTCCTGGCTTGGAGTGGTGGTGGCTGAGACCTGCAGACCCACGCAGAGAATCCAAGAGCAGCAACTCGCACGCCCAGCCTCAGCTACCCAGTCAGTGTTTTCTATGCTAAAATGGTTTCTTAACAAAGTTCTACAGTTGAATTTAGCTTTGTCGAAAGCTATGTTGATATGTGAAACTTATTATTGTGATAGCATCTACAGATTTATATTTGCACTGTACGTTTCCAGGAAGCGGGGTTTGCTTCGTACGTGCTTGAGTTGGTTGCCAGTACAGACTGATAAAGCACGAATGTGTCTGCCACATAATTTATGCAGTGTAGATTAGCTTCACTGCAGAGCTGTATGTTCTCTGCTTCTTCACTGTTTTTTATCCTTTTCAGCTTTTTTTGTTTCTGAATAACCACAGCTAGCTCTCCAAAATGATGTCTGTGTTTTACTTGAATTACCTTGCATCATCTTATGAGAACATCCCATCGGTTCCAGCACGATGGCAGGTTTCTGTGTCGCCCTGGGCAGGTTTGTAGGTCCTTCTGTACCGGTCGCAGCACAAGGCTTTTGCTGTAGTCAGAAGATGATCTTGGCAGAGGTGAATTAAAGCAGTGTCACAGAAAATGCTCTGCCGAGCCGGTGACAGGCGTCTTTGCAAACATAGATCTGGAGAAGTAGAAATTGGAGAACAGATTCAGGAAGTTAACAACGTGAAAATCACAGTTGTTCTCGGTTTCCTAGTGAGGACATGAATGAGTCTGAGATACAGAAGTGAACCAGAAAGCTGAGCTTTTACCAAGCACCACGAGATGCTGCGTATGACAGAATTGTTTGCATCCATGTTGCTCACTCCGCCTTACAATTCGCTTCTTGCCTTTTCTACTGTGCTGTCTGGCCTGACAGAAAATATGGTGCTTCGTCAACCAGGAGGCAGCTTTGCTTGACACGTGTTAGTTTGCTGTAGCATAATACACGGCTATAACTGATAGTAAATAACAGGCATTTGTGCAACACTCTGACATAGTGACACAAGCGGAATGCGAAGGGAAAACAAGGAGACTGGTTACAGGAGCTGCCGATGGTGTTTGGGGGTGAAGCACTGTCACAGCTGCCCATATAAAAATATTCGTATGAAATACGGTTTTATTTTTCCACGAAATAAACGCAAAGCTTGAGTCTGATAAACCTCTACCCCTGGGAAGCACTGAAAGAAAAATCAATTTTAAATTTCTCAGAGTTTTTTTCTTCTCTCAGCTCCACAGACAGGTATGGCTGAGGGGCAGGTCAGGCATTGAAGAACACCAGAATAAGACCGTGCAAAACCAGCAATGAATTAAATGATTTATTTTCTTTTTATGGTAAAAAATAACTGTTTTTTTTTGTCAGACAAAACACTTGATTGGCCTGCCAGGTGCAGGATGGCCGGCAGGGCCTGCCAGGCCCTGGGCCCAGAGCTCCCCTCCTGCGGCCTTGCTGTCCCGGGCACAGGGCAGCTGGGGACAGGGGTCTTGGTGCCGTGATCCTTTGCTGTTAGGAAGCTGCTTACTTTGCTGTCTAGAGCTTGTTTTGCTAGGAAAAGAGAGCTTTTATGGGTAAGGTTAGGATGCTTGCGCTCCCTGGAACTGACCTCACCTTTCTGTGTTCAGCAGAGCACCGGGTAAAGGCCGCACGCTTTCTGTTGTTGAAGTTGCAATTTATCACAACAGAGCATTTTATTGCAGCTTTCTCTACAACAGATTTTAAGGCTACGAAGGCAAAACATCTGCACGGCAGTTAATGGACCTAGATGTGAACCATTTTTATCAGTCGGTGTGGAATCAGCCTGTACCCATGTGGTGCAGGGGCTCTTGTTGCCCTTCCAGCAGCTCCGTGTGTCCAGCACTGGGTAGCTCGGTTACTGCTACGATGATGATTTCTCATTGCCAGTTGTGGACAGTAAATGATGCATTTTGTTGCAGACCTCAGAAATGGAAAGTCTTTTTTCTGAATGAAAATGTACAGCAGGTAGATTTTTCCTTATATATTGAATAATTTCCATTGCACTGCATCGCCTGTTTGTCTTGATAATGAAGGCTGTGTGTAACTTCTTGGATTTCATCTTATTGATTTCTGACGTAGCTGGCTGTCTAGACATTGGGATGGAAAAGCAAGCGTGCCGTGCCATCTGAAAACATAACACTCTGAAAAGAAACATGAGAAATTAATCCCATTTTATCACTAAAACAAAACAAAACAGAAATCAATTGATGTTTCTCTTAGCTTAGGCACAGCTTTTGCACTGATACAGGTTGTCAAAGTGCATACAAACATAAAAAAATATTTAACAAATGACCTCCTTTTATAATATTGGCATGCAGCTTTTACCATGGTCTCACAGTATTTACTGTATGTTCTTGAAACATGCAGAACACGGTCTGTAAATGAACGTTTGCTCCCTGCCTTTTCTCTTCAGTATATAAAGAACCATGTAAAGAGCTCTCTGTGTGAATTAGAAACGTTTTCTGCTGCTACTTCATTTTGAAAAGCTTTAATGAACCCTGCTGACATTGTACATATGCAGGTAATAATTGCATAAATGATGGACAACTTCATTAGGTTAGAGGGAAAGTTTTCTTTCATAACAATAATGTAAAATTAGCTCTTCCATTTTATTGGATTCATTATTACCAGGATAATTGGAGGATCTGAATCTGTACTGAGCCCAGTGCGTTGTGGAGCTTATGCCACAGAAATGAGGTTTAAGGGAACTCAGCATGATTCACAATTCAGCCCTTGTATTTTCAAGTGTATTTTCAGATCTCTGCTTCTCAGAGTGATAATTCTTAGTCAAATTATGTGCTATGGTTTAAAATTAATTTTTATCATAGACCCAAGTAAGCATCCAGTTCGGACTGCCATTCTCTCTATAAACTGCAGCGTTTCTCTTCTTTGAGCATAGAAGATGGGATGGAGGAAGAAGAGCTACCAAAACGAACAAATTAAAAGTAATTCTCTCATTTATGCATTACTTTTTTGTATTTTTCTGAGGAGGATGGGGACAGAACAATCAGATGTGACATGAGGAAACTCAAGAAGAGGCTGACAGGGAGCACAGAGCCAAGGCAGAAAGAATACGAGAGGCCGAGGAACTGGGCAGGAGGAGCCGGGCAGCACACAAATCCTGCGGGCAGCAGTTCCCAGATTACTTCAGCATCGATTCTAACTGACGCAGTGCCTGCCCGTCACTGGCAAGTCACACAGTCTGTAGGTAGTTACCAGCAGAGCCAGCTGCTGGAATTGCAGGCCAGTGCAGCTGGGAGAGGTGAGGCTTTGAAGCACTGACCCTCACTTTTTCCTCAGCCTCCCAGATCTGACCGTCACCTCTGAAATGCTGCGTTTGTGTTCTGGCTTCGGAGGAAGGTTTTGTCTGTTTATCTCAGGTGAGGAGCTGGTGTTAGTAAGCTGCACATTTATTGCCTCCAGGATCCTTTCATCTGTGAGCAATTGTGGCTAGTGAATACACTGCCAGCCTCCAAGGGGTGTATGATACAGCCATCTACTTTTTAAAAATCCAGGTTTCTGTGAGTGTGCAGGAGCCAGGTGAGGCACAGTTTAGATGGGCTTCAGGGCCAGCTTTCACAACCTTTATTAAATCATCTGTAAGAAATTTGAATGCATTTTTGCCAAGGACTTGCAAGCATATATGCAGACTATTACTGTTTAAATGTTGAAGAAAGTGTCATGGGAGGACTAATTTACCTAGCTAGGAAATTCCAGTAGATCCAGATCTTGATGCTCTTCAAACAACATTGTAAAATGTAGGTGAAAATAAAACATGTTCACGGCATGGTACACTTCTGTTCATAGCCCTACCCTCTACCCTATACCTCCTAGCCCTGTTGTAGCTCTTCAAGAGCTAGAATTTTATCCTGAAAAGTCAAGTTCCAAAAAGCACAAAGTTGGTAATGTAATTTTTTTGACTTAAATGTCTTTCTCTACGTTGTCATCTCTTGTTGCAGCTTCATAACCTTAGTTGAGTAGATTTTGCTCATCTGGACACATACATTTCTGTGGGATTCCCTTACCTCCAACCTGGAAGGTGTCCCTGTTCTTACCAAAGGCTGCTCATACTGCAGCTCACACAGAAGCAGAAGCAGCAGCATAATGACCATCAATATGAGTACACTGAGTTAGAGCAATGTTTCCTCTCTGTCATAAAACCAAGCTGTTGTTATGCACCACAGATGGAGGCACCTCTCCGCTGATGGATAAATGGCATGGCACTCAGTGTGAGATCCGCATGGTGTCTGCTAATGGCTGAGTGGCTGGGAGTCCCGCTGTAGGAATTGAGACACACGTGGGGGATCGGCTGAGATCTAATTCCTGGACATTAACGAGTGAGTGCTTGTTTAAGAGGCTCTCAGCCCATTTGCCTCATTCTGTCCCCTCTCAAGCAAGTTAGACGGGGAATTGGAATATTTGTGTAAAGAGCAGATGAGGCAGCTAATCCTGGGGAGGCTCACTTCTGTCAGCATCCAGTTATTATAACGATGAGTAAATACAAGGGCTTGATTTCCCAATGGCCATCACAACTGCAGAGCTCTCGGCACCTTTGTGGTGTGCCCTCTGTGGTGTGCCGAGTACTGTGGCTGGAAGCCCTGTGCTTCCCACCAACCTGGAGCAGAGGGCTGCAAGCCTGTCCCCTTGCACAGGTTGCAGTGCTCTGGAGATGAACTGGGGCTGCTGGTGGTGACCAGAGTAAGTGGATGGCATCCCCTATTTCAGTATTTCTTTAGTGGTTGACTTAAGCAGGAAAGATTTCAAAGCAACTGGTAATTTTACATGGCTTAACTACGATCACTGTAAATTAATGGCAGCAAGCAAGCCCTGGTCACCTTTAATTTTTTGAGGTCTGGGCATTGGTCTGTTTTTAAAATCTCTCTTCCCCTGTAGGGAATGTGTCCTTCTGAATCTAGTCAAGGTCTGCATTGTCAGACTGGATCCCTTAACAAACTGTTCTGCTCAGCTGTTGGAGGTCAGAGGTGGATCACAGAAGCAAGTGGCTCTTGCGTTGTCCCTCCAGTGTTTGCAGAATGGGTTGCCTCAAGCCGTTGTGGGCTTGCTGCTTACTTTTTCAGCAGCTTGCTGTTAGACTAAACCAACACACACGTTCATTTAACAAACCCATCCTGAGGCCACACGCTGTATTGATAAATTCTTACAGGCCTTTTTGTATGATACTGAGCTCCTTATGTTCCAGATGAAGCTGACAGAAGCTCAAAATGCTGTGTAATTCTCAGTCTTAGACATTGTTTATTTTTGCTTTCAAAGACAGCTGGTAACAAATGACGAATTATGTTCTTACAAAAAAAAAAAAATATCCCCCCCCAACCAAAAGCAAACAAACAAACAAAACAACAAAGACACCCCCTAAAAAAAAACAACAAAAGAAATCCATTGCTGTTTAATTGGTATTTACAAGACAAATATGTATACTTAAATGGTGTAAAGACTGTATGAGGAATACTTTTTTTATAATAATAACCTTTTCAAGAGATCCCTTCGCCATCGTGTTGGTAACGATGCAAGTGATGACACTGACATAATAACAAGGAAGGAACAAAGGAGAAAAGGGGGTACAGGGTGGAGAAGGTAACGTTGGGTGATGCAGACTGAGAGTTGCTGTAATGAGCAGCCCACACTTCCTCCAGAAATTATTTTGAAATAAGCTTCCCTTGAATACAATGGCTTGGGAATATCTGTACGGCTAGGGCTTGTAGTCAGCTGCTGTCTTTTTCTTCTGACTTAGGGAAGCGTTAAGCAGTCACCTCTCCAGGCACAAGGATGTTTTCTTACAGTCCCTCCCTACAGCAGAAGCACCTTTCGAAACCACTGAGTCCTGGGGCTTGGCCCTGTTTTCAAGAAGAGAGTGCAGACAATCTGCACTACCCTACTTGAAAACTGCCTCCATAAGGGAAAAAAAATAAATCGCTAAATGTCAGGCTTTGCTATTTTTACTGCATATCCCAGAAAAAAAAAAAAGCTGTTGTGTTGCTGTATGCATTCGCAATTGCAGCATGCTGCATGCCTGCCACGGCTGATTATTCCCGTTTGTCTTGTACTTGTCAGTTGTTATTTTACAATGAAAGAAATTTCTGTAACAAGTTGCAAGTGCTTTCTGCCGGTCACCTTTTGAGAACGGGATGTGAATCTTCTTCAGCTGTGCTTGGAAAGCACTGAAGATTTTTTGACAACAGGCTCTGTACTTTGGGTTAAATCTTCATTTTCTGGAATTCTGTAAACCAGGACTCCACATGAGGCTAAGTGAAAAACGTCAGGAGTTTGCTCTGTAGGACAGAAATATTTTCCGATGGGTTGTTTTGTTGTGTTCTGAGCATATTTATATTGTTTGGATTCACGTACTATTAACCACTAACCGAATTTGACAGCACGCTCCCTTTGTAGTGTACTCCCTCAAAATAGCCTCAAGCTGTACTTGAGAAAGGAATTCGGTTTTAATGGGCGGTTAAAATAATTCAGAATGAACTAGAAGGACTTAAAGTGATGTTAATTCACAAAGTGAAGTTTGAAAAATATTATGAATAAGGATCCTGGCCCTGTTCTGAAACACCAGCTGTGGAAGAGTTGACAGGTTCTCCCGGTGGCCTGAGCTGACGGCTGTGCTCCCGTGTCGGAGGATTTCCATCAGCCTCGACCTAGATCGCTCCACTGCTCGCTGCCTCCTCTGTCGCTTGACCTCTCATCGTTCACATTCCAGTGTCAGACCTGGATTTCTGCTCAGGCTTTCTGTTGGCTGACTTATTCTCATTTGTAATGTAAGTCCCAAAAGAGCAATCAGATTGAGAAACTGTGCTCTGGCCTCTGTGCAGAAGGGATGGGGGACGGAGTGAGACAACAAGGCCGGAGGTTTTCAAGCACAGTATTGAAGGTTGAGCTAGTAACTGTGAAGGCAGTGAGGAAGAAAATGAGAAAAAAAATAAATAGGACTGAAAACTCATTTAAAGTTGTGTGCATCGTGATTTAAGGCAGGTATTCAGAAGTCTTGGAGTGATGTCACGTATCGATCAGGTAAATCAAACTGTAGAAGACCAGGAGCGTGGTGTTCAGCCCTGAGGCTGTCGCTGGGAGGTGACCAGGCATTCACAACCACTCTCAAGCTGAGAGCAGCTCCCCCAGGTTGGTGACGTGTGGAGCCCTCAGCCCACGGTTTAAGGCCCAGGCATTTGGTTGCTGGGTTTTCTTTCCCTTCGTGTTTATCATGCAAACAAATGAGCGCTGTATTTCATTGTTAAAAAATCTAATTTCTAAGTTGTTAAAGATGGAATTGCTCTCCTAAGAAAGGTCTTGGTTAATATCCGATTTCTCTTGCTAGCGTGGCAAAGAAAAACAAATTCTAATTATTTCAAGACTTTAGGGAAAATATTTCCTATGTAATAAACACCACAGGTTTGCTCATTCAAATGTATTGGGGTGGAAACTGATTTCTTGGTGAAAGAGCAATTGCTCATTGTAGACAAGTGGCAGCAGTCATTGTCAAATCCAAATTTTTTTCTTTGTAAACTGAATGGTCCTGGCTAGGAGTGATACAAACTTGAAATGGCATTGCCTGAGGCAAATAATACCCTGTCTAATGTATTTGATTTTGCAAAGATAACAAGCTGAGTTACATTTCTGCTTTCAGTTATATTAATGGTTCAAGAAAAGGGAAGATAAGAAACTGAAACAGATTATTAAATCTGCCTTTTATTCTAGTATCACTTAAGGTAAAAGCTAGTGATGCCTTAAGGAAATCTTTGGAAAAAAAAAAAAAAGTAGTATTTAGTGTTTTATCAAGAAAAAATAGAATATATAATGTATTTTTGTTAGATTTGCAGCCACTGGGCATTTTGGTAGAGCATTTGGTTAAATACCTAATGAATAATTCATAGTCACTAATTTATGAGCCCTGTCATACAGACTAAAAGCCAACTTTCAAGGCCTCAGACAAAGAGAATAAATACATAGCATTTAGCGAAACTCCAACCAAACTGGGAAGTCAGCGGGGTGGGAAGGAGCGCTGCGATACGGCTGTGAGCACGTGAAGGGCATCGGCTCTGGGCTGAGAGGGGGAATGATTTAATTCCAGTGGGTTTTTAATTGTCAATATTAAAATCTCCCACCGAGAGCAGGAAACCAGCTTTATTGGCAGAACCACAGCTCCGTGGGCAGAAGCCTTCTGCTGGAGGTGGACGGGTGAATGGAGGACCTCGACTCTGCAATGCCGTGCGGTGCTTCTGATGGGCTTCTCATCTGACGCCTTTGGATGCTGCACTTCTGCCAGGCTGCTACAGGAATGGGAAACAAAAGGAGAGGCAGGTTTCCCTGATGAGCTCACAGTCTTAATTAACAAGACTTAACAAAAACAATTACCGCAGACAAAGGTTAAAAAGAGATAAGAGAGATAAAAGCAAATCTCAAACAGGGACAAGAATGCAAGCTGCGACTTTAATGTTCAAGAGTACTTTGCCTCCACGTAGAACAGAAGGCTTTAATACAAATGCTTTTCCAGTGCTGCAAATGGCCTATTTTCATACCACATCTCTTGATCTACGTTTCAGAAATTTAAATTTCAAAGCCGAATACAGCATTTCAGAGACTTAAAGAGCAGTTCATGGCAACATATGCTCTTCACCTTTCCAAGTAGACGTGCTTTGAAGGAACTTTGGGTTTAAAGCAATACAGCAATCTCTAAAAACAGCAGTATGTTGCAATTGGAAATAACTTTATTTTTCCCTTTCAGTGTGACCCAAGTGCAAGCAATTATCTGATATTCCCCATTTGACATAAAGGCCCTGGGCTGGGAATCCTGCAGCTGGTAACAATTGAGTGGATATGGCTACTTTGAGGGAGAACTGTTCACAAAAATTACCCGTCATTTCATCTTGGTGAAAAGAAATAGCACTGATCACTTAAAGTTTCAGAGCTGTGTAGTACTCTTCAGTCAGCTTTTTCTTTGGCAGACATCTCCTTCAAGTAACTTCTGCTGATTGTGCTGGCACAATTGTGCTTCTGTGGTCCAATTTTCTTATTCCTCTGTCAGAGGCAGCACAGAGGTGTCTTTGTGGTCACCTGGCCTCGTATAGCGCTTGCCGAATCTGCTGGGATTTGGGACCCGGGCAACTGCAGCAGCGAGGGTTTTGTCATGTTGAAAAATTGATCTTTGCAGCTTCTCGCAGCTGAATTGGATTTGGCTTCATGCACAGAAGTTAAATTGATGTGATAACTATGGCTGGTTTTGTCACCCATAACTCTTGCCTAGAGCAGGATATTAAAAAGGACAGAGGAATTAAAAACAAACCTGCTACTGACTGTGCATTTTTATTTGACTTTCTTAATGTTAGGTGATTGTTGACAGAGATTATTCAGGCAGATTGGGTTTGTGCTATAGTTTAAATTAAGCCATTGTGTTCTTACTTAGCATGCAGAAAAGATCCTTCCAAATTTTGAAAAGGTCACTGCTGTTAATCATTTCAGAAAGGCAATAAAGTATTCCAGTAATGACTCAACTGAAAAGAATAACCAAGATTAAAAACTTATTAGTGCTTAATAAATACAAGCGTGGTATAACGGGGCATGCCGACGAGAAGCTGCTGTGTTTGGATGAAAGTCTCTTGGTGAGAGCGTTTGCAGCTGGCAGCGAGTTCTGGTAACTCGCATCGTCAGCCCTTGTGGCAAAGGTATTCAGGACAGCTGAAGAACATAGTCTTGGGGGGTGCTTGGTTTGAGTTCTTTGGCTTCCTGCCACAATTTAAATCTGGGAGATTCCTTGTGGGTTAGATTTTAGACTTGGTGGTGTCTGCTGGCAGGTTGTCATGGTTGGGTTTGGTTCTGATGAGCTGCAGAGCTTCCAGTGACTTTGGTTTGAGTTAGGTCTGCAAATCGGAACTCTTCTAATTCTCCAGCTGGGCACCCCAGTCAAGCTTAACATATTTTTAGTTTTCCTCTGTTGTATAGTTATATTAGTATGTTTTTTGTGCTGCTGGAAATGGCAGTCACTTTGGCAAAGCCTTGGTAAGGTGGAGTCGGTACAGAGCAAAAGGTGCGGGTTAATCACATGTTGATTAACAGGAACGTAGTGATTGCAGATCAAGGATTATTATAAATACATTTTGCAGAAAATAATTTCTTTATAGCAAACTTCTAATATTCCTTATTGAAAAACTGTCATAGGTCTCACAGGAAAGAGATTGTATTTTCGTTCTAAGGTTGTTGTATTTTTTATTAGTTTTAGTCTTGAGATACTTTTCAGGATCACAAAGTTATTTTTTGAAATAATCCGTTAACCTTCTCTACATTGATTTAACATACTTATCTTAAATAGGATGTATGCATACAGTACAAATAAAAGAATTAACAGGCTATAAAAGTAACCCAGATTTTTTTGTTAGCCAAACCCCTAATGAGATCCTTCTTCCCCCTCACCTCTCCCTGGAAGTCTGTAGATCCTTACAAAAGAGAAGTACCTTTGCTTTATGGATGCACAAACAGAATAGATTTAAGGTAATTGTGATTATTTATTGTGTTTTTGGATGTTTACCCCATTTTGCATGTACCTGGTCATTATGGAGCATTATATTCCCCACACATTGCTGCACTCAGCTTGCTCTGTGCTCTCTGGGTCCCTGCATGGGCCCGGCCCAAAGTGTGCCATTACTGGTCCCAGTAACCATCAGAGAAGGTTACTGGGAAGTCCACGGACGAGTGTTCCTGCAGGTCTGGGATAGATGTCCTTGGTATCAGAGCCTCTGCAGCTTGATGCACTGTTTCTGTTCAGTGAATATTGGGGTCTGGAAGCTTCTCTGTGTAGTGTAGACCCTTATTCTTCGTTTCATCCCAATATTCCTAGCAGTGCTTTTATCTGTTACCACTCTGATATGATTTTACTGCTTGTATTAATACCTGGAAACAAACGTTGGCAATCAGAGTGACTGTGTTAGCTGTGACATGCCTAACAGATGAGTGTCCTCTGATTTTAGTCTTTCTTGATATTAATCCCACCGGACCTGTTATGCTTGCCTTATTTCCTTTCAAAGCCACGTGATTCCTCTGTGGCATACCCTGTCACTTCGGGTGGCAGCGTTCAGTTTGTTTTTCTAGGCCTATCCCTCTCATACTAACATTTACTGGTAAGCGAGGGAATTTCTAATGACTTAGACATACGAACTAAAGAATCCCATTTCATTTCTGTCCTGCTGTTCCTGTCTCTCTCACGCTAGTGTGTTTTCCTGTGGACAGTTTGTTTGGCTGAGGTTTTAGGCAGCCGTAGCATCTATTTGTTTTGTTCCTGCTTCATCAGTCTGTACTCGCAGACCGCGTATGAGCCTGGAATTGGAGCCCAGGTGGAATATGTTGACTTCATGTTTCTAATCTTTCATTCTCTGATCAGAAACAGAGTGGACATCTTCATATCTTTAAGTATTTTTAAGACGCTGGCTGGCTTATTTAGCTGTTAAAACATTTTTTTTTCATTCCCCTGCAGTAATCCTTCCCTGAACTGGTGGGGCTGAGCTGTTTTGATTGCCGTGACATGTGTGGGCCTCCTGCTGCGCCGCTTGGATTTACGGTGCAGGCAGAAGATTAATCTCTAGGTCATCACATTTAAGTCTTTTGAGGACAGACCGAGAGGAATTTTCTGTGCTGAATGTTTCCGAGGTGCTGTTGGTGCAGAAGGCCCCTTCCAAGCACCCAGGTAATGGCTCCTGCCATGCTGTGCGTGTAGGCCTCACGGGGCCGAGCCACAGGACCACGGGCTGCAGGACAGCCCCTGCTGTCTGCCAGGCCTCTTCCACCCTCCTGCTGGGAGAGGAGAGGTCCTGGCACACGCCAAACCCGGAGGTGGAGGTCGGGGACACCCCTCTGTGGGTACTGCAGCCCCAAGGGCCCACGGGGCTGCTGCTGCTCCCCATCGGAGCCCTGATGATGCTGCCAAGAGGCCAGGCTCATCCCCGGGGCTGAGACCCAGCTCTGCCAGGCACCCCAAGGGACCCCAGTGTCCTCCCAGAAGATGATTTTTAAGGTTTCGGTAATTAATGCACAAATTCTGCTGTAGCTGGGGTAAGTCCCCGTGTATGAGAGGCAGCAGAGCTCTGGGACACGTGCCTCTGCAGGAGCATGTGTTGTGACAACTCCCATATGGTGCCACCTACACGAGGAAGTGTAATTTCTGCCTCATCAGCCTTAATCCTTCCTCAGCGAGAACGTTTAACGTTTTGAAAGGCACTTGGCTATTGACCAGTCCTCCACCACACGCGTGTATGATAACGTCGCTCCAGGTCTGTCGCATCACTTCCCGAGTCTGTTGACACCTTTACAGCACTGAGGTCTCTGCTGCTCCCCAAACACCATCACCACAGACGTGTTCCAGAAATGTTTAATCCGCAGTGCGTTGGGCAGGGAAAGCTCTGCTCAGGGAGAGCAGGAATCCATCCTCCTGTGAGCACCTGGGCAGGGCTCGTTCTCTCCTCAGCTGGCCCCTTTTCCTACATTGAAGGTTTCGGAGAGCTGTCACGAAGAGATTATCCCAAAGTACAAATCAGATCTGTAAGAAGAGATTAATTTTTTTTTTTTTAAACCAAATACATCCCAGGCTTGCGGAGTTTTTTTGTTGTTTTTTGGAGGGGAACCGGGGGGGAGAGAGACACCAGCACTGCAGGGCACCGTGCCATGACTGAAGCACTAGCAGACTAAATCCAGTGCTTATACCAATTGCTGCTTAGGTTCATTTAATATTTTTAATTGGACTTTTGTCCCTTAATAAGCTATCCGTTGTCCTGCGGATTATGCTGTTAAGTAGCGCAGTGTGTATACTTTTTCTCCGCTCTCAAAATATCTGTGTATAAAACAGCCAGGGTTGAAACTGCAGTCCCTGACAGAGCACCGCTGGAAATTGTGGAGCCAGATTTCATGAGAGTTTTGAAAAACAATTTGCTTTTCAGTATAAGTAGTGCTTCAGTTAATGCATTAACATTTAAGGGCTGAAAATACCAGCGGAATGTCCACATGGAGTAACAATGAAAATTGTTTCAGTTTTCTTGTCGAAATAACAGGAAATTTAACCAGTCCAAAATTGGAGTTGCCGTCTGATTGCGGGGGGTTGATGGTCTCTGTTAAAATGAGGGTGAAAGCAGAAAGTTGCACCACAACCCCCAGGTCTGTGTTCTGCTTCCAGCACAAATTAACCAAGCTGCGGCATCGTTCTGCTGGGATTGTTTTCAGTGCCTGTTGGTGTGCTTTTAACAAAACACAGCAGGAGAGGCAACACGCAGTTTTCACAATGTATTTCTGTTGTACTTTTTTTATTTCTGACGTTCATAGCCATCCCATAAATTATTTTATGAATTTTAAGTAGTATTTCACTGATGTAAATAATGCAAATTGCAGGTATAAATGATTCATTTCTGGTTTAGTGAATGGTCAGGATTTATGGCCATCAAGTTTGTTGGCCTGCAGTCTAAACCAAGGAAAAAGATTTGGTTGAAGCTCTCTTTGGCATAATCACGATTAGCAATTCCCATCAGGAATAATGTAAATTATTTCACTCTACATGATGAAAAAGAGGAGAGGATGTGAGCACAGATGGAGTGCAGCACCCCAGGTCACCCATGATCACCTTCTCAGGCCAGGGGAGAAAACTGATGAATTGTAACGAGCCTCCTTTGCCCACCCCAACATGGTGTCAGATTCTGGAAGGAAAGAGTCACAAGAGATATATTTATTTCATACAAACTTACACATGAATGACTTTTTTCCCCTTGAGAAGCATGAACGTTCAGGTGGTTTCTTCATCGCTTTCTTGTGGGAATTTCATCGCCTCTGAATAAGCAACCACACTAACACGTGTGCGTGTTGCAGCTTGTTTACTTGAGGAAATATTCCTAACACAAGCTGTGGTTCATTAATCTGTATTCATCATTTCCCCAACTATAATTGTTAAATGAATTTTAGAATATTTTTAACCAATTTCATGGTTTTGATCTGCGTGTCAGGGCTGTGTATAGACATAAACATTTGAAGAATACTTCCTTTGGAAAGCCTCTACTTTTGTTGAGAAGCGTTAATATTGAATTATTGATATTAGGCCAACATGAGTGGATAGATGCTGTTGCCTACAGCACTGGAAGCATATTGTTCAGTGCATTGTAATCTGTTACAATAATATTCTTCCTCTTGCCATACATATCTCGATCTGGCTGGCTGAGCAATGTTGTTGCTTGTAATCTCTGTGTCCACAAAGGCAAATATAACGTTAGAGGAGTCTGGGGAAACATCCTGGGAGGTCAACAAATCACTTGCATTTTCACATGTTGTTTTTATGAGATTTTACAGAATTTTACTGTGAAAAAGTGTGGTAGACAGAGGCAAGGTAAGATATTAATTAAAAAGGTGTTGGGTTCTGTGGTTATTTTTAATCAATATACGTAGAACAGCAGCAGAGCAAAGAGGTGCATTTCTGGCAGTCGTCCTGGTAGGCTGGAGGAGGCTAAATGCAGCATAGCCAGGCTGGGAGTCTAGGATCAGCCAACGCCTTTCTGCAGGCTCTGGGCGCGATGCTCACTGTTCCAGTTCTGAGTCCACTCACAGACGAGAGGGATTCTGCCCTGCTTCACGTAGCGAAGTCACAGCTGCAGGACTGCAGTCCAGCTCGGGGACCTCGCTTCAAGAGGGAGCATGAGAGAGCCTGGAAGAAAGTGGCAGAAGCGACCGTGGTCCAGCAGCCATCACCTGTCAGGATAGATGGACGGGTTGGTGGTGTTTACTCAAAGGGCAATTACCTCCTTTTAGTTCTGTGAGAAGTTTCAGGAGGAGGAAACTTTGCTTCGTGTCTGCTGGAGGTAGGGCAAGAAAGAATCAGCAAGTTCTGCAGCAGGGAGGTTATCTGGGTACGGGCGTTCAGAAAGGCTCCCTTAGGGGGATGGCGAGGGGCTGACCTCCATCTGCACTAAGATAAGCTGCTGAGGGCGTACAGTGCAGTGAGAAGGAAGATCTTAACCCACGTTACTGCTTTTACCTGTGTTCCTTCCCTGCTGGTCGTGCAGCCGCCACGTGCTGGTGGCTTCGTACTCCTTGTCATTAAAGCACCTCCCTCCACGCTTCCTGCGAGGTCATTAAGTCACCTCACATACGTCGTCTGGTGTGTGGGACCAGAGGTCAGAGTGGAAAATAACTGCTGGACGGATTGGATGGCTGCAGTTATATAAGGCAGCAGCGTCACACATCCCAGCCGAGGCGCCCTGCACCGCGTGCCGAGGTGCTCCCCGGGCACCCTGCTGTCTGCTGGGCTCCAGGGCACACCGTGCGAGGCTGCAGGGGGCTCGTCCCATTTATTGGGTGGTGTCTTCCCTCTTCTGGTGACCTCTCTGGCCTCCTTTCCCCATCTGCACTGCTGGAGGAGACAGGTTCAGAGCCCTCCACTGGGCGAGTCCCTTCTCCCTGGTGAGAACAAAGCCCCCTCTCCAAAGGAGGGCGATCTGTGCTGGTTTTGAAGTGCAGATTCTGAAATACTTGAATGAGAGTGCAGCATCTGCTGGGGACTGACATTTGCGAAGCTGTCTTCAGCTCTGCAGGTTCTCTGGGAGAGAAATGCTGTTCCGCAGCAGGCAGGTGCGCAGGCTGCTTGACTTTGCCCTTTAAGGACTGCTGTAGGCAAAGCTGCCATCGGCACGGTGAGGTTTGGTCCACATTGGCAAGCAGTAGGCTCAGTAAGAGCAAACGGGGAGAGGAGAGCAGTGGTGAGGCACTGGTGTCCGCAGACCCTTCATGTCCACGTCACAGCTCTGAGGGTTCAAGCTGGGGCTGGTTCCAAAAACCGAGTGCCCATTTGGGGCTGGAGAGCCCCAGGTGCATCCGGAGCACACCTTCCAGCCCGGTTTCACCTGAAAAGGTCCAGTTTGTGTCTGTAGACTGCTGTATTCCTTCTTCCTTTCTTACAAACAGGTTCAGGTGTTTTGCATGATACAGAGTATGGACAGAAATGGCCCCGGTACTCTCAAGTATAACAACCGACATGAAAATAGGAGGGAGCCTGCTCCAGATCCACTACCACCTAGTTACTATGGCAGTTAATCAAGGGACCATGGAAACAATGCAGCCTGCCTTTGGTTCCCCCCCCAAAGGAAAAAAAAAAAGCTCCCCGAAATAGGAAATCTTCCTAATGGTCTTGTGCCCCCCCGAATTGCATTCAGGTTGTTTATATAACAGGAATGAATTAAAAAAAAATAAAATTGTAACTCTGTCTTGTCTAGCACTTTGGTGAGAATGAAATTGCTTTGTTCAAAGTATTCAAATGATGTCTGTGAATCCTGATAATTGTTATTTAAATAGACATTTTTAATTGGGTTGCGAAACTGGCGAATACACAACTCTCCCTTGGGAATTTTCACCTTTTCTCATTCTTGGTGAATTTTTTCAGTTAGTGTCTGTATCCCCCAAACTCATTCACATCTGGCTATAGAGACAAAAATACTGCTAGGGGACAGCGGCTGTTCCTAAATATTCTCACTGAGAAGTTAAATAACGTGCATTTATGTGCTGTTTGCCATCCTTGCCAGAAGGTAATTTTTTTCTCTTCCTTTTTTTCACCATCGTTTGTTTTTTCAGATGATGTTAGAATGGGTTAGGGGCTTGCTTAGGGCTGAACGTCTCACCCTCTGATGTCAAAAAAACCACCAAGATTTGCATGGGCAGGATTTCATGTCATAGCTGTCTTTCTTCCTAAGGTATAAATCTTTGTATCATTAATCTAATTCTTGGGTCTCTTCCTGTCTTACAGAACAGAATAAAAGACAGCTCTTTGTGTTAGCCAGGAACACTTTATACAAGGGTAATTATAATTCTGCGGATAATCCCTTCCTCTGTTTGATTCCAGCTGTTCTGGACAGAATTGGATGTGCCTGTCCTGGGTTTGAAATACAGCAACATTGCATCTTTCACAAGTTTTTATTTTGTTTATAATGCATCTTGCCACGGCACTTGGCAGAATGGATGTGACCATGTAGGTACCAGCCTCAGTGGTATAACTCTGTTTGTTTGATTTTTAACTTCAGTAGGACTTGTGCTGGGAACCGCAGTCAAGCCATCCTTCTTTTGTATTAGTGTCACTTGTGTTCTGCATATTTTATTGAGAACATTATTTTGTGTCACTGCAGAGTAAGTTAATAGCTGCTTTGCTCGGTGTGACATGTGGTGTGTTCACTCGCCAAGCATTTTGTTCTGTAAGATAAAGTCACGCAATTTTCACTAGAAAAAAATTAAGTATAATTTCTATTAATTAAGTGTGTTATGAATGTTACCTAACATTTTCGAGGATTAAAACAAAGATTCTTTCTCTTCGCTGTCAGCATCTCTTCGTACAAGCCTCTAAATGCTATTTGTGCTCTGAGAACTGGGAGGACGTGAGGGTTTTGCAGCATTGGCCCCTGGCTGCAAGGTCACCCGAAGGGGGGGATGCAGTGCGCTGGGCTGACCTAATGAATTTGTACCTGGGGAGAGCTCTGTCCTGGGCCTTGGGGGTTCTGCTCTGCTTCTAAGAGTCATTGAGTGCCATCAAATCGCTGCTTCCCAGCAATGGGAGCCCTTTCTGCTGGGATCTCTTTTGTTTTCGCTGGCTGTGAATGG